GTGGCCTCTCCCGTTGCGGAGCACAGGCTCTGGACGCGCAGGCTCAGCAGCCATGGCTCACAGGCCTAGCTTCTCCGTGGCATGTGGAATCTTCCCCGACCGGGGCATGAACCCGTGTCCCCTGCATCGGCAGGCGGACTCTCAACCACTGCGCCACCAGGGAAGCCCTTTCTTAGTTTTTTGATACATTTCAGAATACGTTGCAGCATCAGCACATTTCACTTCACTGTGCACATGATTAACACTAGTTCAAAATTTTTTTAAATAAAACATTTGTAAGTAAACTATAGTGAAATGTACAGATCCTGAGTGTACCATTTGATGAGTTTTGACAAATGCATGTAAGTTGTGAAACCCAAACCTCTGTTAAGGTATAACCTCAGAAATTTCCCTCAGTCCCTGCCACCACTTTTTACATTTTTTTCCCCAACTTTACCTGTTTTAGAATTCCAGATAAATGGAACCATACATTATGGACGGTTTTGTGTCAGGTATCTTTGACTCTGCATATATTTTTGAATTTTCATCCATGTTGGATATAACAGCTCTTCCCTTTTATTGCTGAGTAATACTCCAGTGTATAAGTATATCATAGTTTTTTTAGTCATTTCTGTTGGTCACCTGGGCTACTTCCAGCTTTTTGGCTGTTTTAACCATCCCAAAGGATTCACCATAATCAGGATACAGAATAGTTCCCTCACCCCCCAAGACTCCCTTGTCCTATCCCTATGCAGAGTAACTCTAAGGTTATCTTTCCTCTTGTACATAGCCCCTGGAAACCACTGATGTGCTCTTATAAGAATGTTTATAAATGCAGTCATACATTATACAGCTTTTTGCAGTTGGCTTTTTTTTTCACTCAGCATGATGGCTTTGAGATTCATTCAAGTTGTTGCATTGTTCATTTCTTTTTATTATCTAATAGTATGTTTTGTGTGGATGTACTACTGTTTGTGTATTTATCTGTTGAAGGACATTTGGGTTGTTTCCAGTTTTAGACAATTATGAATAGAGCTGCTATTAAATATGTAAGTCCAGATTTTTGTGTGAACATTTCATTTCTCAAGGGTAGATAACCAGGAATGGGATAGCTAGGTCATATGGTAAGTTGATTTAGATATGATTTTCTTTGTATTCTCCTTCGGGTTTACCGCCTTCTAGAATCTGTAAATTTATGTCTTGCATCTAATTTGGGAAATTCTTAACTGTTATTTCTTTTTTAAAAATAATTAATTAATTAATTTGGTTGCACTGGGTCTTAGTTGCGGGAGGCAGGCTCCTTAGTTGTGGCATGCGAACTGTTAGTTGTGGCATGCATGTGAGATCTAGTTCCCTTACCAGGGATTGAACCTGGGCCCCCTGCACTGGGAGTGTGGAGTCTTATCCACTGTGCCACCAGGGAAGTCCTTTGACTGTTATTTCTTGATTGATTGATTGATTGTTTTACTGCCCTATTCTCTCCTCTCTTTTTGGGACTCCAATTGTGTGTATGTTCAGCCTTTTGATTCTGTCTCACGTATCACTGATGGTATGTTCAGTCTTTGTTTTACAATCTTTTTTCTAAGACTGAATAATTTCTTTGACTCTGTCTTAAGTTCACTGTGTGTTTTTGGCCATCTCTTATCTGCTAATAATAAGCCCATTCAGTGAATTTTTTAATTCAATTTTTTTTTTAGTTCTAGAATTTCTTGTGGGCTCTCTTTTATATTTTACTGATTCTCTAATTCAGTTTCCTAGCCATTCATTATAAGCACTTAAAAGTTTTTTTCCTTGATCACAATTATAATAGTTGCTTTAAAATCTTTGACTATTAATTATAATGTCTTGGTCATCTGAAGTCAGTTTCTATTATCTTTTCTTTTGATTTTGTTTTATAGTTTTCTGTTTCTTTGTATGTCTAGTAATTTTGGTTTGTATACTGGCCTTTGTGAATGATACCTTGTAGAGTCTGAATTCTCTTATGTTTTATTTAAGGTTTTTTTTTTTTTTTTTAAAAATAGGGTATTAACTTGGCTGGATCCATATTTGAAAGTGTCTTTCTTGTTGGGCAACCTCTGAAATTTCTAATAATTTCTTTCAGTCAGAGCTGGGCTACTTGGATTCTGCCCCATGTGTGTATAGTTTAGGTGTCAGATATTTGGGCAGCGTTTTTTTTGTTTTTTGTTTTTAATTTTATTCCTTCCTCCCTCCCTCCCTTCCTCGTTTCTGCACCCGGGTTTTCTCTAGTTGCAGTGAGCGGGGGCTTTGTTGCGGTGTGGTGGCTTCTTTTGTTGCGGAGCACGGGCTCTAGACGCGTGAGCTTCAGTACTTGCGGCATGTGGGCTCAGTAGTTGTGGTGCGTGGGCTCTAGGGTTCATGGGCTTCAGTAGTTGTGGTGCATGGGCTTAGTTGCTGCACGGCATGTGGGATCTTCCCGGACCCAGGCTCGAACCCATGTCCCCTACATTGGCAGGCAGATTCTTAACCACTGCGCCACCAGGGAAGTCCTTGGACAGTGTTTTTATGCACTGTTGGACATGCCTGCTCTGTTGTTCTTTCTGGGATTTATCCCCTCTTTTCTGGTCCTGAGTTTATCCTGAATGCTTTCTTCTTGTTTCTTCTTGTCAGTAAGACTGTTTCTATTCACGTTTTGACTTCCCTACCTGGGCTGCTCAGGGCCCGCTCCCAAACAGAAAGTTTAAAATAAAGAAGTAAAATCCTGTAAACTCAACCAGTGCCATTGCATTCTTCCAGGTGTCAACTCCCTTCCAGTTTCTGCCTTCTTTTAGTCACTCTCTGGTGCCTTCAGGTAGTTAGTTCTTTATATTTTGTCCAGAATTCATAGTTGTTACCCACAGGAGGGTTAGTCTATAAGATTTTCCCCTACCTTGATGTAAATGTATATTTTTTTATATATGTAAGGAAATTTTACCCCATAATCCCCTGTCTGTACTTCTTTTATATTTTTGGTCAGAATTGCTTCACATGTTTATGCCTAATTCATTCAAAGACAAGGGAATGACAAATAGTTCTTAATGTATTATCCTTGCACCCCTGAGGTTTCTGAGATTTTCAGGGGTTTCATGAAGTCAAAAATATTTCCATAATAACCCCACCAAGTTATTTGCCTTTTTCACTTTCATTCTTTCATCAGTGTATACGTAGTATAGCTTTCTAGAGGATGCACAGCGTGTTAAATTGCAACAGATTGAATGCAGAAGATATGAGACTCCAACTATCTTCTATTAAGCCAGACATCAAAGAGATTTGCAAAAATGTGAAGTGCCTCATTTTTATTGTTTTGGAAAAGTTACTTTTCACAAAAATATATTTTTTTAGCATGTAATTGTTCTATTATTTTTAAATAAGTTAATACATATTTAAAATTTTCCTCAGTTCTAGTTTCTAATACATTAAATATTGATATAGATGACCTAGATAAACTAAAGCTCTCTGGGTCTGGTTCTTATTAATTTTAAGAGTTCACAGACAACCTGAGCACAGAAAGTTTGAGAAGGGCTAGTTTACACTAATCATTACTCACCTCCTAAGACTGAGAATTAGGCTCATCTCTGGTTTAATATATGTGACCATGTGTTGGGTGGATAACAAAATTGAGGTTATGTTAAAAAGGAAGAGGGTTAATGGTTGCTGCCATTAACTACTAACTCTACTGCACGTATGTGTCAGGATACCTCAGTCTACACTAAAAGTTGTGGTATTTTAAAATTATAAACGTAACGTATATTGTTACTGATTCCACTAATTTTTCTTATGAGGTTTTTGGGTACAATGTTGGATCCTAGTTTCTTTGAGATAAGATCCAAATATTTTCCATAATTCAATCTTTGAAGAGTACATTTAAAACTTTAGGTAATATAAATTAATATTGATAAATATTTAGATGCTAAATGTTCTGTATATGTTAAACACAGGTTTTATATGGAATGTTAGAATATCTCTTGCTGCAAAAATGAATTTCAAGGTTTGAGAATTTATCCCATTCCCTTCTCTGATTACTAGAGATTCCCAGGTACCCCATCATAAAGTATATTTGTGGCCTGGACATTTTGTAAAAGAACATTTTGGTATTTTATGCTCTGCTTTGTCACTCATCCTGAGGCTCTTTGAGTAACAAATTTTAAAGAGAGATCCAGTTGGGTACTTTTTAAGCAGTGCACCATAAACTTTAATGTGCATATGTGGATCTTGTGGACCTTGTTAAAATGCAGAATTTGACTCAGTAGTTTGGGGGTAGGATCTGAGATTCTCCATTTCTAACAAGCTGTCATGTGATGCTGCTCCTGGTCCCTGGGACAAAACTGTGAGGAGCAAGGCTCTAAATAACGTATGAGAGAATTAGAAAGATCTGAATCCTGTCAATATAGGCTGAATGTACCTGCCTTTTTCCCATTTGCCCCTATAAGAGATACAGGTTAGTGATTCTGAGGTTGGGCTTCTGGAGTGATAAGCCTTATATGTAGGAAAGGGGGCAAAACAGGGCAGATTTGGAATTCGTAAATAGCAATAACTTTTGATCTTGCCATTAAATTTCCGTAGTCTTTTTTTTTTTTAATTTTTTATTGAAATGTAGTTGAGTTTCAGGTGCACAGCAAAATGATTCAGTTATACATTATATCTATTCTCTTTTAGATTCTTTTCAATTATAGGTTATTATAAGATGTTGAGTATAGTTTCCTATGCTATACTGTAGATCCTTGTTGGTTATCTATTTTATATGTAGTAGTGTGTATATTTTAATCCCAAACTCCTAATTTATCCCTCCTCACCAACCCCCCGCCAAGTCTTTTACTTTCTATATGGTAGTTGTTGGACATGTGGTCAATATAAGTTGGATTTGTTCTTTACCCCGTGTTTAACTTCTTTGTCTGAATGTCAGAGGAAATGGAAAATTTAACTTGAATATGTGGTTTTACAACTCTTTAATTTACTTGCAGGCATTGATCAATATGACAGAGATAGCATCATAAATGATTTTAAGAATGGGACCTGCAAACTTCTTGTTGCTACGTCTGTTGCTGCCCGAGGCCTAGATGTGAAACATCTGATTCTTGTAGTAAATTATAGCTGCCCCAACCATTATGAGGATTATGTGCACAGAGCAGGACGGACTGGAAGAGCAGGCAACAAAGTAAAAATAATTGCTTTTAAAGTTGATTTTTATTATGTTAAAATACAAGTGTTTCTTTATGATTATAAAGAGATAATAGGAGTTATGGGGACATTCTGAAAATCCTTCATCATCAGAGTATGGGGATAGTTGATGTTCATCATTTATATACATCTACATGTCTTAAGTGCTGTTCTCTGTAGGCAGATAGTGTTAACCATTTGTGTCCCCAAAAGGTATTTTTCCCCACCTAAAAATTTCTGTATATACATACATGCATATAGTTCAAGATCTTTCATTGCTTTTTTTAAAATAAGGGATCATGAAATACACTCAGCCCACACCTATCACCCCTGTTCTCACCCCCCTATACACATGAATATTATTTACTTTTTTGACTTATCTGTATTCTGTTAAGTATATAGTTCTAACTCTTTCTTTTTGAAGGCAGCACTGATGGAAGCACTGATGGTGATATATTTGATATTACAACCATGGACATTTCTACATACTGAAGCAATAATAGTATTAATAGGTTATATTTATGGAGTATTTATTAAATGCCCACCACTGTTCTGAGTGCTTTACATATATCATCTCATTTTATTCTCACAAATTCCCTTTGAGGTAGATAATATTACCCCTTTTAACAGATGAGAAAAGTTGAGGCACACTGACATTGTTACTTGATAAATTTACATAGCTAATAAGTAGTGATGGCATTTATTCTTTTAACCTGAGTTATTCTGTGGATTTGGGAAACTTTTTGTGTAAAGGGCCAGGTAGTTAAAATTGTAGCCTTTTTGGGCCACACGCAGTCTCTGTCACATTGTGTGTGTGTGTGTGTGTGTGTGTGTGTGTGTGTGTGTGTGTATACGTGTGTACACAACCCTAAAAAATGTAATACCACTTTTAGTTCATGGATCGTATAAAAGTAGGCCATGGGTCAAATCTGGTAACTAGGTACTCCTGAAATAAAATATTAAATCATGTTTTAAAATTTATAACAGTTCACTGGTAGGGTAGAGCGTTTTGTGAAGATGGCAATCTAATTGTAGTTTGCTATTCCTCTACTTACAACTCCAGTCTTTCTCTTGCCTGAACCAAAAAGCTGCTGGGGACACCTGCATCCTTAGGCTTTAGAGAATCCCAGGGAAGTGATATAGCTGACTTCATTTTTGTATATGTTAAAAACATAACAGATATACATGTGTGTATGTTTTTATATCTTTTAATTGGTCTTTAAAAAATATGGGAAGCTGTATTCTAGGACGTTAACACAGGTTAGCTGGGGTAGAGAGGTGCAGTAGGTAGTGGAGGAAGGGAATGCAAGCAAAAAGGGAGAAATAAGATATATTAAAGTTAATACTTATGACAGTGGAGTTGTACATTTATGTAAAAATCACATGTATTTCCCTTTATGCATAAAGAGATTAGAAATTTTCTGGTTTTGCTTATTTTTAAATATTAAACTTAGGTATTTCACTTTGAACCATTAAAGAATTTAGTAGGACTCTTTTGTGGTCTTTGAAATTCTTTAGTAATGGAGTCATCTTAAAGAGGGTATATTAGGTGACTCAGATTTTATCTTATTTGTGATCTAAGGAGGATTCATCTTGTTAGTGTTTAATAGTATCACTTTTTCATCATTCACTAGGGCTTCGCCTATACTTTCATCACAGAAGATCAGGCTCGGTATGCTGGTGACATAATTAAAGCCCTTGAATTGTCAGGGACTGCAGTGCCACCTGATCTAGAGAAACTTTGGAGTGATTTCAAAGATCAACAGAAAGCTGTGAGTTTTTTAAGTCTCATTTTTATGCAAGTCATTGTGTTCTAGATCTTGAATATTTAATACCTGTAAATCTTGATAGGATTATTTTCACTTATCTCTTTAGCGAGGAAGGGAAAGGAGTGAAAATAAAATGCTCCCTTTTGCTTCAACTTAGTATTTTTTGTAGTCTACATAGAGTTCCTTTTTCTCACATGCTAGATGAAATGTTTTTGTTACATTGTCAACACCGCCTTGAAAAATATTTAATTGCCATAAATTCCTGAATATTAAAGTTTTTTATTATGAAATTAACTTCCTTGTTTTTCCTTGAAAGGAAGGGAAAATAATTAAAAAGAGTAGTGGGTTCTCTGGTAAGGGATTCAAGTTTGATGAAACAGAACAAGCTTTGGCAAATGAGAGAAAGAAGTTACAAAAAGCTGCTCTTGGTCTTCAAGATTCGGATGATGAGGATGCTGCAGTTGATGTAAGTATTGTTGTTCTAAGCCTTATTCTTACCAGTTGAATCAATTATTCCTTTGATACTGGAGGTTTTACCATAGGCTTGTTTAGTTAGCAAGTTACTGGAAACTTTTCGTTGTGTACCCTTCTCAGTTTTTTTCTGTGTATACAGACGTATTCACATATGCCTGTATTTCTGTAATTTCATAAAAATGAGATCATACTGCTTTATAATCTTTACAATAGTCCTATGTTGAAGTCTTCCCTTTTAGTAAATTCACTCTTATGCTATTCTTTGGTTACATATTTCATTATATGGATGTTCCACTGTTTAATGAATCAAATCCTTATTTTTGAATATATGGAAACAAACATGTTTGTTTCCATGTATTTTTTATTTGGAATATACTTTACTGTACTTCATCGCTCATTCTTGAACATTAAACCTTGCACATTCGTTGCATTAAGTCTTGAGGATGAATGTATAAATGGAATTGCTAGGCCAAAGGGTATATCTAATTTGGTCTTAAAACGTTGTCAGATTGTTCTCCTGCAAGGTGAGTACCAGTTTGCACTCACAATAGTGTTATATAAGAGTGCCTGGCTCCCTGTATCTTTAACATCATTGGTACTAATATTGTTTTTTAATCTTTTACAATTTAATTGTTATACAACATCCTTAGTAATAATAATAGTCAACATTTATTGAGTTCTACTAAGTGCCATGTCCTGTGCAAAGTGCTTTACAGGGATTATTTCATTTACTTCCTCACAATAGCTAGATGAGTGGATACTCAGAGTATTCCCATTTTATAATTGAGGAGACTGAGGCTTAGAAAGAAATAACCTTTTCAGATTTGCATAGCTGTTAAGGGGAGGAGTTGGGATCTATACCCATTCTGTTCTTACTTCAAACCCATGTTCTTAGCTTACAGAATTATTTGTAACCCAGTGAAAAGGGACCCTGAGGACTCAGCAAGTTAAGGGTTTCCCAGAGTATTCTTTGGAGCCTTAATCCCAGGATCTTGAGCTTTAGATGTTTTCATTATAAAATAATTTTGGAAAATCTGCCTAGTATATACCACTATTAGTGGTATCCTATCAAAGGATGTGAAAAGTCATTAATAAAATAATCTTATTTAACTTTATTTGACACAGAAATCTTCCAACATATTTGATATTTGATCATAGAACTTTTTTTTGTTTGTTTTTGAAACATACCCTGTTAAACCTTAGCTCAGAACACAATTTAGGAAATCAGGAATTCAGTCTGATCTTGTCATTTCAGGAAATGACCACACTGGCTGTTAAGCACAGCCGGGACCAGACCAAGGTCTCCTATTAACTCTAGGCCATTTCTTACTAGCATACCATACTGGCTTAAAATTCAATTAAGTCAATATTTTAGTTATTTGTTACCATGTAACAAATCAATCCAAAACTTAGTAGGTTAAAACAGTAAACATTTATTATCTCATGATTCCTGAGGGTTAGGAAATCAGGAGCAGTTTAGCCAAGTAGTTCTTACTTAGGGTCTCATGAGTTTGCAGTCAAGCTGTTGTCCCAGGTTGCAGTTATCTGAAGGCTTCACTGATGCAGGACCATCTTCTTCCAAGATTGCTCAGTCACTTTAATGTTGGTAGGATGCCTCTGTTCTTCACTCTGCATTTGTGTCCTTACAGCATGGCAGCTGGCTCCCCCAGAATGAGTGATCCAAGAGAGAGCAAAGAGGAAGCCTTAGTACCTTTTATGACTAGTCTCTGAAGTTACATACTGGCTTTTCCACTTTTTTTTTGTCTGTTAGAATCAAATCACTAAGTCCAGGCCACATTTAAGGAGAGGCTCCACCTCTTGGAGGGAAGAGTATTAAAGAATATGTGGGATTGTTTTTAAAACCACCTCAGTTTTTTTATGTTACTTAAACATTTTTTAAAAATCCCATAATGAAATATGTTGATTTTTTTCCTTCTTGTTAAAATATAAGTTTTGTAAAAAAAAAATAGAGCAATACTAAAGTGAATGAAAGTAAAGTTACCCCTGTCACCTAGCTCCATATACCTTCCCCATTCCTGATTTATGCATTTGTTTTGGATTTTAACGCCATGTATGCTGTTTAATTTAAAAGGGTTATTTAAATGTTAGTTTAAAAGTAGTTGGTAACTCAAACCCCTTAGTAGATAACAAATATTTTAAAAAGAAGATAAGTTGTCTGTTTCCATTTCAGTAAAAGGTCTTTCTAAATTAACCTAATTAATTTTAAACCCTGAAAAAAGCTTGCTCTTCATTTGAGATTTAAAATATTAGCCTAATTTTCAGCATTGCTCTTGCTTTGATGGGGAAACCAACCTTCATTTCTTTCCTTCCTTGAAGGAAAAAAAACAATAAAGGCTTTTTTTCCTGATTCTCTTACCCAGTGTTTTAGATAAATCCAATTGCATTTTTGAAGTTGGGAAGAAATTTAGGAACCCTGTTGCAGCATTTGCCCTGGGAACCACTGACTGTATTTTTAGGTGTCCACTGGTCTTGAGTTATTGCCCTTGTCCAGCCTCTTTCATTGCAGTGTATGTAATTTGGCCTTAAGGCCTTGGCCCTGGAGCAACTCATCTGCATCAAATTGTCTGCTCTGTCTTGACAGCACATGTTCTTCATTTACTGAATTGGGATGTATCTGTACCACTCAGGAGTCTGCTGAAGTGGTTCTTGCAGCCTTGTATCTCTGTTTCTTTCTTTCCTTCCTTCCTCCCTCCCTCCCTCCCTCCCTCCCTCTCTCCCCTCTCCTCCCTTTCCTTTCCCCTTCTCCTCCTCTTCTCCCTCTATAAATTGGTATTTTTAATTAGATTTTTACTAATCCTTTTTCTTCTTGTTTAGATTGATGAGCAAATTGAAAGCATGTTTAATTCAAAGAAGAGAGTGAAGGATATGGCTGCTCCTGGAACATCTAGTGTTCCTGCTCCAACTGCAGGAAATGCTGAGAAGTTAGAAATTGCAAAGAGATTGGCTCTTAGAATCAATGCTCAGAAGAATTTGGGGATTGAGTCTCAGGTATTAAGTAATTTGTTCCAAGTCTTAGTACTTTTTGTAAGTTCTTTGATTTAAATGCTTTTCAGGAATTATGGCAGCACAAGTGAACAAGAAGTTATTTTAGACACTGAGGTAGTAAGCATTTAACATTATTCTCAATACAGAATTCTTTAATTATTATATTTGGGTGATTTCTCTAGTGTGGTTAACTGAGGTCTTAATGCCTAGTCTGGAAGGCCTAACTGTTAAGCATGTTAACCATGGATAATTTTATAAAGTAGTATTCTGATTGATCTTAACAAAATGCTAAAGAAATAACTCTCTTTTCTTTCTTTTCTGTTTATATTAGGTGGGTTATTGGGCACACAAACAATACCTTGGAAGTATGAATATCCAGTTACATAACTGAAACTAACATGGGTTTAGACAGTGGGAAAATGTGTTAAATATTTCACTTGCCTTGTTTCTCTTGGGAGTTTTTTGGTTAACTTAATTTTTTTTTTGAAGTATAGTTGATTTATAGTGTTGTGATAGTTTTTGCTGTACAACAAAGTGATGCAGTTGTACATATATATATATTCTTTTTTCCATTATGGTTTATTACAGGATATTGAATATAGTTCCCTCTGCTATACAATAGGACCTTCTTTACCCATTCTCTATATAATAGTTTGCATCTGCTAATCCCAAACTCCCAATCCATCCCTCCCCCAGCCCCCTCCCCCTTGGCAACCATAAACAAGTCTGTTCTCTATGTCTGAGTCTGTTTCTGTTTTGTAGATAGGTTCATTTGTGTCATATTTTAGATTCCACATATAAGTAATATCATATGGTATTTGTCTTTCTCTTCCTGACTTACTTTGCTTAGTATGATAATCTCTAGGTTCATCATGTTGCTGCAAATGGCATTATTTCATTCTTTTTTATGGCTGAGTAGTATTCCATTGTGTGTATGTATATATGTACATATGTGTGTGTGTGTGTGTTTGTATACACATACCACATCTTCTTTATCCATTCATGGACATTTAGGTTGTTTCCATGTCTTGGCTATTGTAAATAGTGCTGCTATGAACATAAGGGTGCATGTATCTTTTTGAATTATAGTTTTGTCCAGATATATGCCCAGGAGTGGGATTGCTGGATCATATGGCAACTCTACTTTTAGTTTTTTGATGAACCTCCATACTGTTCTCCATAGTTGCTGCACCAGTTTACATTCCCACCAACGGTGTAGGAGGGTTCCCTTTTCTCCACACCCTCTCCAGCATTTTGGTTAACTTAATTTTAAACTAAGGTTAAATTTTCATAGCATTCCTAAAGAACAATTTGTTAATTTTGACAGTATTTTTAAGATTTTGAGAGTTTGGGGACCTGCAGGGCCCTGTGTCCAGTAGCCTGTATAGGTTCAGGTCTCTAGTGTCCAAGTGGGATGACCAAGCTAGAGGCCAGTGGGCTGACCCAGTGAGGCAGCCACAATCAAGGCTCAGAGCCTTGGGTCTCTGCATCTGTTTTAGTTAGCCAGTGAGTTACTATAAATTGTTTACTGTACTCAAGCCTGTGCCTCTTCTGACAACAGGGACACAGCACCTCACCTAATATTCTCTTGGATTATTGCTACTAATAACTCTTTACTGTGAAAACAAATGGCTCTAACTTTTCGCTGTTGTTAGAAGAGCTTGTGGTGTGAGTCGTGTATTACCCACAGAAGAATTATCTCTGCATTAGGCACATAGTAAAATTAAGTTCAAATTTAAAAAAATGTGTTGAGTAAAGTCATTTACTGTAATTTATAGAATGTTGGGTTGGTCCATGGGGGAAGGAAGAGCTCAGTGGTGGTAGTGGGCAAAGATTCTGATTCAGAGGAAAACTCCTAGTAGCCACAAAGTATGTAAATGATTTTAGAAATATTATACTATATTTGATATCAAGAGTTACCTAATTATGTATGATTTAGTAGAATTTTTAATGTAAAATTGAATATTATTGTTTTCTCATCAAGTAAGGGAGATATATTAAACTGTCTGTTATAAATATATGCTGTTAAATTGCACTTACGGGTAGCACTTTACATTAGAAAGATGCTTTTAGTTAGTGGCTTTCCAGAGAATACTTTGTGGTGGGATCTTTGGTCTTGTCTCTGCCCTCATTTGAGATTTGACTGTAGGTCTTCTTTAACTGCAGGATGTGATGCAGCAGGCCACCAATGCAATTCTTAGAGGTGGCACCATCCTGGCTCCCACTGTCTCTGCAAAAACCATTGCAGAGCAACTTGCTGAAAAGATCAATGCCAAGCTTAATTATGTGCCTTTGGAGAAACAAGAAGAGGAGAGACAGGATGGTGGACAGAATGAATCTTTTAAGAGATATGAAGAAGAATTAGAGATCAATGACTTCCCACAGGCAAGTAACAGATTTAAACTTTTTTTTTTTTATTGTAGAGTAGAAACTCCTTTTTTAGGAGCGAAAATGCCTTGTTTAAAACCCATGAACATTTAAATGGCTGCTTTACTTTTTATCTAGATGGGGAGACAACACTAGAAATTCCATATTTATGATTATGTTCTAGTTACATTAGAATCTAAATGAATTTATGATGCAGGTATTAATTATAATCTTAATATTGACCATAATATGATTTAGTTAACCTATTCTTTGTCAGTACATCAGGTTTCTTTATTCTGTTGTAAAGTGATTTTTTACCCCCACTCTTTTTTATTTTATTTTTTTAACATCTTTATTGGAGTATAATTGTCCCCCCACTCTTTATTTCATAGACTGCTAGGTGGAAAGTTACCTCTAAGGAAGCTCTGCAGAGAATCAGTGAATATTCTGAAGCTGCAATTACAATCAGAGGAACATACTTCCCACCTGGCAAAGAACCCAAGGAAGGAGAGCGGAAAATTTACTTGGCAATTGAAAGTATGTACTGTTCGTTCTGTTTCAATCTTGAGTTAGATCACAGTTGATATAGATGTAATAGACACAGAAAGAATATGAGGTCAGTTCTAGAGAGGACTGAAAATGAGGAACACCTATAAGAAAAAAAATAGTTTCATCTATCATTGTGGTCTTTATTTAGAAGTTTAGTACATATATAGAGGTGAATGATCTGTGTTTGGGACTCTTTCAGTTTTGACAATTTGGTCAAATTGAAAATCACTCTATAAGAAAACATGTATTTTCAGGACTGGTTTGTTTATGCTTCCAGTAAGTAGAACGTTCAGGCCAAAGTTTAGGTTAGAAAGTAAATCAACTATATATAATAGTCCACTTAATGCTTGTTTATCCAAGCAAATATTGCCTGTGATTTTATGCCTAAAAGTTCATACATACCTTTTTAAAAAACAGGATAGGACAATTAATACCATAACTCACAGGGTATATTTATTTCTTTATTTTTGGCTGAGTTGGGTCTTCATTGCTGTGCCCGGGCTTTCTCTAGTTGTGGCCAACGGGGGCTACTCTTTGTTGCGGTGTGCAGGCTTCTCATTGCGGTGGCATCTCTGATTGTGGAGCACGGGCTCTAGGCGGATGGGCTTCAGTAGTTGCAGCACGCGGGTTGTAGAGCACAGGCTCAGTAGTTATGGCGCACGGGCTTAGTTGCTCCGCAACATGTGGAATCTTCCCGGACCAGGGCTCGAACCCATGTCCCCTGCATTGGCAGGCAGATTCTTAACCACTGCGCCACCAAGGAAGTCCCTTAAAGGGTATAAGTAATGCGTTATCTAAGAGTGATCAGGTGTGTTTTTTAACCTTATTTTATACATTCATGAATGAATTCAAAAGACAGTTTCCAGTTTGATTTTTTTCGTACTTCGTTATGTACTGCATGGTAGATAACTTGTCTCCCTTCATTTATATTTAATTTGAACATTTTAATAATAGATTTTTAAGCATAGACCAGCCACAGATCCATTTCATCTACTTAATGAACTAAATATTTTTTGAACACTGGTGTTGTAGCTGTGAAGAGGTTTTACTCCATGTGTCATGTAAATCCAGAGTCTGCATATCTACTGCTTAAATGGCTTAGCTGGCTGCAAAGGAGCTCTCCCATACCTTGTATAATCTTAAACACCAGTCTAGTCCTTTGAGTTATACACATCACTTCTAACAAGGAAGCCTTACTTGATCTCATTTCACCACTCTGTAACTCTTTACTTGCTTTGTTTTTCTTCACAGTACTCATTACATAGAAATTATAGTATATTTTTACTTGTTTCTGTCTCCCCTACTAGAGCTCTGTGAATGCAGTGACTTTATCATCTTCTGTATTCCCAGTGTCTGACACATGGTAGGCACTTGATAAATTTTCTGAATAATGCATCTGATCATGCTCTAGAGCCACTTCTCTTCTGCACACAAAATATTATTTGACAGGCATATCCATGTGATCTCTCTAAAGCCGCACCATCCAATAAAAACTCTGATGGCTGTGGAGCACTTGAAATACGGCCAGTGTGACCAAGAAATTTTAAATTTAATTTAATTTTTATTAACTTAAATCTAAATAGCCACATAGCTGATGGCTACTGAATTGGCTAGCTCAGCTCTAAAGTTTGTTGCTGGAAAGATCAATGGAAATACAAACTGAAAGTATATTGTAAATAAGGTTTATCACTAGTTAGTATTTTCTTGTTATATTTTGGCATTCCTTTGATTTTGGTGAGGACTTTATAACTGTATGTAAGTTCCTTACTGAAATAAATATAAACTAAAAATGTTTTAAATATATATGAGGACTTTTTATTTTTTCTTGCGGTACGCGGGCCTCTCACTGTTGTGGCCTCTCCCATTGCGTAGCACAGGCTCCGAACGCGCAGGCTCAGCGGCCATGGCTCACGGGCCCAGCCGCTCCGCGACATGTGGGATCTTCCCGGACCGGGGCACAAACCCGTGTCCCCTGCATTGGCAGGTGGACTCTCAACCACTGCGCCACCAGGGAAGCCCGAAGACTTATTTTTAGGGTTTGATTCTTTCCTGGACAAAACAAAGAATTTCACAGATGTGAAAGTAAATTAGTACTGTGCCTATTTACTTTACTTTTAACTGGTGACCTCAAATTGTTTTTGTGTGACTTCTTAACATAAAGACTACAAGAAGAGAAATGCACGTGCAGTGTGCATCTCATTTACCCTAAGTAGAAGTTGTTTCCTGGTCAAAATGCTTGATAGGATCAGAGTAAGTTAAAAAACAGAAAAGTTTTGTTACCAGGATTGAGCTGGGGTTTTGTTTTTTTCTCCTTTAATAAGGGTTTGCCTGGTTGATGTAAGGTTTTTATTACTTTCTGAATTCTGATAAAATTGATTTTAATAGTTTTTGCAAGTTTATTCACTGCTTTTGTGGAGGGACAGGCTTTTGAAATTCCCTCCTGTGCCATTTTCACTTATGTCACTCTCACTTTCGGACTTTTTAAAATGAAGAATTGTGGCGAAGGTAAAACTCAGATATAGCCTTTATGTTTTCCATATTATTGAAATTCTACCTTTACAGTACAGTAAGATTCGTACATATGTTAAATGGTATGCAAAGAATGTGGGTCCAGAACTAGGCAAGTTGTATTTTTTTGTTTGTGATTGTGACTTTGAGAAACTGGATCATATCTATTTCAAGTCAGGTTTTTAAATGGCACCCTTTTATGTATCCTGAAAGACTTTTGCTCTGCCAGTGACTCAGTGTGTTTCTGAATCATGTGACACTGTTCCTTATTGTGAGGCAAAATGCGGGTTGCTGGCACCTCAGCGTTCAAGGAGAGAAAATTACACTGAAATCTTTCTGCACTTGGAACTGGACAGCTCTCTCTTACTACTGTGTTCATTAGGCCATACAGGATGTCATTCAGTAGAATCTGATGATAAAACCTTTTGTAAACATGGAGTCATCCTTGTATATTCAGCTTGAATGTCATAGGTGTCACTTAAGCAAAACCAGTATTGTATTTTTTTTTGCAATAACATAACTGTAGTTTATTCTGAATATCTCTAAGATTTCAAAACCAGTATTTTAAATGACTGCCTTTTAAAGAGGTAAATCAGAGATGATTGTTTGCTTTGAAAAAGGATCCCATATATAATTTATTAATTTAAAGGTAATTATACTTATTTAGTGTAGTATAATTAATGTATGCCAGGTTTAATTTGTATATAACTTTATCAGAACATATCTCCTGTACTACCAAGTGAAGTGAAATGAGAAGCCCACAGCTTCTGCTGACTTTTCCATCCACCTAAAGTGGTTCTGGGTGCTTCTTTCCACTGTCAACTTGTATTTAGGAAGTAACATCTAATTTTTATAATCTAAGCAAGGTTTCTCTCCCCCAGTAAAAAGATAACCTTGTCAGAAATGAATCTTGAGAATTCTGGCAACATAAATATGCTAAATAAGAGCTGGAGATTGGTAATTAAAATGACCTAAAGCTTTGAGAATTTTCATAGATGATTAGATTTAAAGGATCTTTTAGTTTTTGAAACTCCAACCAAATCAACTGAACACTAATAGGATGAAAACAGGTGTTGGAAGGAGCCTAGTGTCATCTGTTTCTAGTTCTGTAATTGGAGGGACCCCACTGCCTGGCTCCTTAGAGGCTCTGTGTGGCTCAGCAGCTCCCGGCAGTGGGAAGGAGAACAGGAAGGACGTACGTGCCTAGCCAGCCTGTATAATTTATAGCCTGTTTTGTGACCCTCTGCTTTTACTAGTGGAGAATCCCTTAAAAGCAGCCAGAGTTGTTTTGGGACCAATGAAAGGAAATGCCGCTTTTTCATGACAGCTTATAAACATATGTAACCTATTACCTAAAGAAGCTGTGTCAGTCAAAAATTTAAACTGGTCCAAATGGTCAGGCTCTAACTAACGCAGGAAAATTGCTCTTCACTTGGAGCTGGGTGGGAGTATCATTTTCCTTCTTTTTAAAACAGCAGAGAATGTCAACAGGCTACACATCAACTCATGCCAAGTAGCATATTTTCCTCCTGAATTTCATTTTTTAAATAATTTTCATTCTGGCTTGGCTCTTGATTATACCCTTGGCTCCACGTTCATCTACCTTTCTTCCCTTCCAGCACCCACAGCTTTAAAATGTTTTGGTCAGTGGCTGGTCGAGGTGTAGGGCTTAGATTAGATATGTTGCTCTGACTTCACAGCCGTACTCATGGCCCTTTCCTTCCTGTTGTTAAACTGTTTCTTTTTCTTCCTCCTCCTCCTCCTCTTCTTTCTCCACTTCCTCCTCCTCCCCTCCCCCCTCCCATTTCTTTTCTTCCTCTTCTCCCTCCCACTCCTCCCTTCGTCCTTTCCTCTCCTCTCCTCTCTATGGGTTTGAAAAAGCATATCTAATAAGGGGGGAAATTTTCCCATTTCTTGTGAATTGTTTTCCTTATTTGATTTTCTTACATAAAATGATAAGAACAGGACTTCCCCGGTGGTTCAGACTTCGAGCTTCTACTGCAGGGGACATGGGTTCGATCTCTGGTCAGGGAAGTTCCACATGCCATCATTTTTTTTTTTAATGATAAAAACATAGTTCTCTACAACCCCAGTTCTTCTTTTATTCTTTGACATTTCACTCCTAGTCCTTAATCTCTAGTCTGCTTCTTTGGTCCAGCTCTATTCCTTTTATAGATATGCACTGTGTTACCTCTCTAGATGTACCTACTTCCTGGCATTGTCCCCTGGCTTCAAATCCCTCCACACTTAGCCTTGATGGCTCTCTAATCTACGTCTCTCCTCTACTTCTGCTCCTTGTTTCCATTGGCCTTACTGAAATTTCCAACTTGGTGTCCCCTGAGCACCTCAGCCACAACGATCTCAGAATCGAATTTCATCCACTATCACTGCTAATAGTAGCACCTGTTCTTCCTCTTGGATTCAGTATCTCCTTTATTACCTGTTATTTTCTTTACTTGCTGCTCAACTCTTAGCATCTTTGTTCCTCTTCTTCACTGTTCACATCTAGTCAGAAAAAACATCTTGTCCATTCTACCTTAAAAATGTGCTTTCAGGGGCTTCCCTGGTGGCGCAGTGGTTGAGAGTCCGCCTGCCGATGCAAGGGACATGGGTTCGTGCCCCGGTCCGGGAAGATCCCACATGCCGCAGAGCGGCTGGGCCCGTGAGCCATGGCCGCTGAGCCTGCACGTCCGGAGCCTGTGCTCCGCAATGGGAGAGGTCACAACAGTGAGAGGCCCGCGTACCGCAAAAAAAAAGTGCTTTCAGGGACTTCCCTGGTGGTCCAGTGGTTAAGACTCCACACTTCCGCTCCTGGGGGCAGGGGTTCAATTCCTTCTCAGGGAACTAAGATTCCGCATGCCGCACACGTGGCCAAAAAAAAAATATGTGCTCTCATGATGGTATGAACATAATCCTGTGAGAGCCCTGAGGGAAAAAGCACTTAACCCCACCTGGAGAAGTTAGGAAAGATTCTTGGAAGAAGTGATATTTAAAAGTTGCTCTGGGGACTTCCCTGGTGGCGCAGTGGTTAAGAATCTGCCTGCCAGTGCAGGGGACATGGGTTTGAGACCTGGTCTGGGATGATCCCACATGCTGTGGAGCAACTAAGCCCGTGTGCCACAACTACCGAGCCTGCGCTCTAGAGCCCGCGAGCCACAACTACTGAAGCCCGCGCACCTAGAGCCTGTGCTCTGCAACAAGAGAAGCCACCACAATGAGAAGCCTGCACACTGCAACGAAGAGTAAGTAGCCCCCGCTTGCCACAACTAGAGAAAGCCTGCACACAGCAATGAAGACCCAATGCAGCGAAAAATAAATAAATAAAATTTTATTAAAAAAATAATAGGGCTTCCTTGGTGGCGCAGTGGTTGGGAGTCCGCCTGCTGATGCGGGGGGCGTGGGTTCGTGCCCCGGTCCGGGAAGATCCCACATGCCGCGGAGCGGCTGGGCCCGTGAGCCATGGCCGCTGAGCCTGCGCGTCCGGAGCCTGTGCTCCGCCACGGGAAAGGCCACAGCAGTGAGAGGCCCGCGTACCGCAAAAAAAAAAAAAAAAAGACGCATCATTAAACATATTTTGGGAAAAAAAAATAGTAATAATAAAAGTTGCTCTGGTAGACTACTTACTACCTACTCGTCTTGCTGTAATATCTTTACAAGTTTGTTTTTCTAATAGCCCAAAAGATCATAAAGCGATGAATGAGTACTTTGTATAATGAATCTCTTATAGTAATAGCATACATGGTGGGTGCTTAATGTTTCTTGAATTTATAACTATACAGATGTCTTCAGCCTACCTCATCTACTTGGCTATCTTGCTGTGTTCTTTCACACACTTTTTAAATTTTTCAACCATGCTGTACCTCTCTTACTTTTCAGTAGTTAAGCATGACTTTCGTAATCTGTACCATTACACACATGATTCCCTTTGTAAAATACTTTTCATGTCATCTCTCCTCCTCCAACTTGGCTAGTCCTCCATTCATCTTTAAGACTTTGCTCAGGTGACACTTTTCCAAAACATTTGCTGACTTTAAAGAGCATAATAAACATCCAATAAATATTTGCTAAATAAATGAACCTAGGAAGTTATATTTTCCTTTTACTTTTTCTTCTTCTCTTCTGGACAAATTGCGAATTATCTTTTCTTTGCATACCAACATACCAAGAACTTGTAACACTAGTACCTCACTAACCTTAACACTCTTAATACTAACGTCACTGGCTACATTTGAAACTCTAAAAGTAATCGTAATAATAAGCAGCCATGATACAATGTAGATGATGTTCCACCAGGTATTGAAAGACTACCTTGGCAAGTAGTACAATGTTGCTGAAAGTCACGTACTGATCTCTAGGCAGTGGATAAACATCCAGCATAAATCTAGTAATACAAATAATGTTCTCCACTCACTCACCAGGTGCCAATGAACTGGCTGTGCAGAAAGCAAAGGCAGAAATCACCAGGCTTATAAAAGAAGAACTGATCCGGCTGGTGAGTGAAAACCTCAAGGACTTATTTATTTGTTTTAGTAAATGTTTTATTGAACTATAATATAAATAAGAGAAGTAGACAAATGATATACATATAGTTTGATGAATTTTCACAAAATAAGCACACTGATGTGATCACTACCCAGTTGAAGAAATATAGAACATCACCAGTATCCCGGAAGCCCTGCTCATGCCCCTCCTTGTCACTATTCATTGCCCCCAAATGTAACATTATTCTGACTTTCAACACTGCAGATTAGTTTCGCCTAATTTTGAACTCCATGTAAGTGGAATCAAATGCTGTGTACTCTTTTATATCTGATTTCTTTCACTCAACATTACTTTGAGGAAATCAGTAGTATTAAATAGTACAGTATTTAAGCATGTGAATATACCACAGTTAATTTATGTTTTAGACGTCGAGGTCGTTTTAGTTTTTGGTTTTTATGAGTAATGCTTCTATGAACATTCTTCCATGTCTCTTTGGTACACGTTAATATATTATTTTCTTGAGTATATACCTTGGACTAGAATTGCTAGTTACAGGGTATGTGTAGTTTAGCAGAGTAGTTACACCAGTTTACATTACCTCCAGCAGTGTATGAAAATTCCAGTTTCTCTACATTTTTGCCAGTGTTTTTAAACTTAGGTGTTTTGAGTGTTTTTAAACTTTGATGAGGACTTAATTTGATTTTGGATAAAGCGGCCTTTTATAGACCACCTTTCCAAAGGAAGCAGACACATCCCTGTAAACTCTCCCTACAATGTGTACATTGGGATGAGGACCCTTTGAAAGGAAACTTTATCCTTTCTCTAAGAATGTGTTTTTGAGGGCTTTTCTAAAATTTCCCTTACAGAACATTCTTTCGGGTGGATAAAAAATTCAAAGAATAGAAGGTACACAAAACAAGAGGGAAGAATAAAAACAACGTTTAAATCAAGTGACTTTCACCAAGCAGTGATAGAAAAAGAATGCCACCACCATTAAGTTGGTTCAGAACCGTTGTTAAGGAACAGTCGAGTGAACACAGGGAGATGATTGTTGAATAGTTCTTTCTTCCTCAATATAATATTAATATTTTTTATTTTAAATATCTGATAGTTTTATAAGTTTGTAAAGGAAATTACTTAACATATTTTTTTTTCCTCCCTTTTACTGATCATATGCCTTTTATTTTCTCTTGTAGCAAAATTCATACCAACCAACAAATAAAGGAAGATACAAAGTCTTATAAAACATCTGGAAAAAACTTTTTACCTGTGCTGGTCTGTGATACATGTGGCAGTTGTTGTCTGCAGTTTACAGTGTATTTTAAGTTAAGATTTTAAAAATTCTTTCTTGCTGATTTTTTTTTTAAATACAAGAAACCAGTATTTGCTAATGAATTTTCTTTCAGTAAGTATCCCCAGAATTATCAAACTATATTTAAAGTTTTCATTAAAGTGCCCTTTAATGTAAATCTGGATAATATTCCAGAAGCGTAAGAAAATTAAAATATTTGGACTTTCCATTGAAGGAAATAAAGTATATAAGTCGCTAAGGGGCTATTCACCTTATCTTCTTGCAATGAAATTGTGATAATCTCCTCAGAAAAGGTAAAATTCTCTAATTTTGTGACCACCTTGAGCTTAAATCTTACTTGACTCAGTGGAACAATATGAACTATATTTAAGACTATTATAATAGAATTTTTACAAAATGCATTCAGTTTTTGTTTCAATTTTTATTATCATGTATGGGCCATAGTTGGACTGGTTTTTGGTTTTGTAAAATTAAAAATTTGTAGTATAAGAATGTTTTGCATTCCTTTACACTGCTAAGAGTTTTAGTATTTACTACTTTTAGGTTCCCCTAACAACCTCTGGCTCTGTGCCTAGCTACTAACTCTTTTCTAATCTTCCTTAAAAGAAAGTGATTTGTAGCCTATAAATATTAATATGATTGTTTTTTTCCCCTGAAAGTGTTCGTTTATGCATCTGTACATACAAACATCATACCAATCTGATTTTTCTTCAGGATTATTGAATAGGTTGTGAATTTTCTTTCTTAAAAAAAGCATAATGGCACTCACATTTTAAACTTAGACTTTAAGCATTTCTCAGTGAAATTCAGTTCACAAAGAATCATAAATTATATTTTTGAGCCTTCAGATATATTTCCTGAATATTCTAATTTAAATTGCTATAATTGGATCACCTAATTTTTTTCAAGACTCCTGGTGTATTAGAACTTCATATTGTTGTCACTTCTTGAAAAAATAAAATTTTCAGGAATTAAATAGATGTATTTCTTAAATTAAAAGATATAGAAGTTCCCTTGAGTATTCTTGACTTAGAGTTTTTAAAAAAGAAAAAAACCAAAGAATATTATAGCTGTTAAATTATTTTAATAGTATGTTAGGTGGTTAAAGTGACAAGGAGTATCAATCATGATTTCTTCAATATAAAGTTATCCTTAATGAAAATCTAAGGTATAACTTGGAAATATTCTTGGATCCCTCGCATATCCTCTTTTTTTCTTAGAGGAAGAAAACAGACACAACACAGCAACAGAACCAAATAAACCATTTACTATAAGATTTCAGGCACCTTGGGCTCCTCCCCCCTCCCCCATTTTATTTATATCCTTATTTTTGTTATCTAGTGATAGTTTGTTTCTTTTGATAGAATATGTTGCAGTCCCACATTGATGGCAATTGGTGCTCCCTTCAGTCTACTCCATCACTTGGAGATTCAGAGTTTTACATCATTTTAGCATTATTACCTTTATGTTTGTATATCTAGTTGTAATAAGCCACTGATAGTACTTTGTTAAAATGAAGCACATTTCTCTGTTATTACATTTGTTTTGTTTTGTTTTGTTTTGTTGTTGTATGCGGGCCTCTCGCTGTTGTGGCCTCTCCCGTTGCGGAGCACAGGCTCCGGACGCGCAGGCTCAGCGGCCATGGCCCACGGGCCTAGCTGCTCCACGGCATGTGGGATCTTCCCGGACCGGGGCGCGAACCCGTGTCCCCTGCATCGGCAGGCGGACTCTCAACCACTGCGCCACCAGGGAAGCCCCTGTTACTACATTTTTTTAGTGTCACACTCTTTGATTTTTAAGATTTGAATGACGTACCAGTTAATTTGTTTTTTTAATGCAATATCAATATTTGCTCATGTTTTCTAAATTCCTTATAAGATAAAGTTAATTTAGTCTGAGTTTTCCTAAAATTATCTTTGCTGAAATGTTTTCTGCTGTTTATCTAATTTTGTTTACATTGCTAGGCATGTGAGAGAGGTATTATACTCTCTGTATCTTTTTAAAAAAATTCTAGCAACAGAAAATATATAGTTCTATCCAAAAATATCTTCCTGAAGAAGGCTCTTAGTCTTTAATGGTGTTTGTATTTGGCCTAAGATAGGCTGTAGGTGAAATAATGGGTCCATGTGCCAGTTGGTGTTTTATCACAGTGACACTCATTCTTAGAAAATGGAAGTATAGAATGAAATGATAACGGCTAGATTCTCTTCAACTCCTTTTAGACAGTTTATTATCTGATATATTTCATACCTTACTAGCCTTGTTGGTATGCACGTGGTATTGAACTGGTAGTCACAGTATACCTGTGACTGCAGTCCTTCTTTTGAGGGAGGCATCCCCTATGTGCAAAGAAATTTTTGTTTGAGCAGAACCAGCTCTTGAGTACCTGGGATGTATAAATCCTACGAAGCCAGCTGTGGAGCCCACTTCTAAATAATTCATCAGCACCTTAAGAAACACATGCTAGAGAGCAAAGCCTCCAAAGTTATAACTTGTCTGTATGTGAGCTCTTTTTCCTATGATGCCTTGCTTTGCTTTATAAAACCATCAGCTGAAGTCCTTTAGTGGCAGATAACATAGCACTTGTTTAAGATAAGAGCTGGGGGTCAATATCAAAAAAAAAACAACCCAATCCAAAAATGGGCGGAAGACCTATTTCTCCAAAGAAGATATACAGATTGCCAACAAACACATGAAAGGACGCTCAACATCACTAATCATTAGAAAAATGCAAATCAAACCACAATGAGGTATCACCTCACACCGGTCAGAATGGCCATCATCAAAAAATCTACAGGAACTTCCCTGGTGGTGCAGTGGTTAAGAACCTGCCTGCCAATGCAGGGGACATGGGTTCGAGCCCTGGCCCAGGAAGATCCCAAATGCCGTGGAGCAACTAAGACTGTGCACCACAACTACTGAGCCTGCTGTCTAGAGCCCGCAAGCCACAACTACTGAGCCTGTGTGCCACAACTACTGAAGCCCACATGCCTAGAACCCGTGCTCCGCAACAAGAGAAGCCACCGCGATGAGAAACCCGCGAGCCGCAATGAAGAGTAGCCACTGCTTGCCACAACTAGAGAAAGCCTGTGCCCAGCAACAAAAACCCAATGCAGCCAAAAAATAAAGAAATTTTAAAAAATCTACAAACAATAAATGCTGGAGAGGGTGTGGAGAAAAGGGAACTCTCTTGCACTGTTGGTGGGAATGTAAATTAATACAGCCACTATGGAGAACAGTATGGAGGTTCCTTAAGAAACCAAAAATAGAACTACCATATGACCCAGCAATTCCACTACTGGGCATATACCCTGAGAAAACCATACTGTTCATTGCAGCACTATTTACAATAGCCAGGACATGGAACCAACCCAGGTGTCCATCGATGGATGAATAGAAAAAGAAGATGTGGCACATGTATACAATGGAATATTACTCAACCACAAAAAGAAACAAAATTGAGTTATTTGTAGGGAGGAGGATGGACCTCAACTCTGTCATAAAGAGGGAAGTAAGTCAGAAAGAGAAAAACATACCGTATGCTAACACATATATATGGACTCTTAAAAAAAATGGTTCTGATGAACCTAGGGGCAAGACAGGAATAAAGACGCAGATGTAGAGAATGGACTTGAGGACATGGGGAGGGGTAAGGGTAAGCTGGGACGAAGTGAGAGTAGCATTGACATATATATACTACCAAATGTAAAACAGACAGCTAGTGGGAAGCAGCTGCATAGCACAGGGAGATCAGCTCGGTGCTTTGTGACCACCTAGAGGGGTAGGATAGGGAGGGTGGGAGGGAGGCACAAGAGGGAGGGGATATGGGGGTATATGTATACATATAGCTGATGCACTTTGTTATACAGCAGAAACTAACACAACCTTGTAAAGCAATTATACTCCAGTAAAGATGTTTAAAAAAATTTTTAAATAAAAAGATAGGGGCTGGGGGGAAAATGGTAGTTGAAGTGAAGTCCAGGGTAAAAAACTATATTTTGTTTAGTAAAATGCCCCATTCTGGTCCTTTTTAGATGATGGATGCTAAGTACATGTAGCAGGCGTGAATTCTGAGTGGCTAGCCCAATGTGGTCAATGAGAATACTCTTCCTCTTAGAACTGAGCCTGGAGCTACCAGTTCTTCACATTGTGGTATATAGTTTTATGTAAGAATTGGAATCTATTGACATTTTCTTATGCCTTCTGCTTCTGGCATGAAAAGCTGAAGTTAACCTTTAAAAAAGTGTGTATGTAAATATAAAGAGAGAAAGAGAACGGATGAATGTGTGTGGATAGGTAGAGGGGATGTCTTAACATTTTATTCAGTTTAGGTGTTGTAACCACCAGAAAACCTTAATAAATTCTCACTGGAGTGAGGCATTTGACTTGGAGTATAGCAACATCTTACATGTTGCTTAGTGAAACATATGCTGTGTTTTTAGGCCAGCTCTCTGGAGCTAAAGGTGGCTACATTTCCATCACTAGGTAAAGATTCCCTGGTGTATTACCAATTACAGATATTTGAAGGTCCTTTTTTTCTGTATCAACTTATAATTTTACTTGATCAGGAGTCCAAGTAGAGACATGAAGAAAAAGTGTAAGCAAATGAACTCTTTGCAATATCCCAACAATATCAGTGGTCTCACCTTTCTGGGGCTTTATGGCCAAACTGGTATGTAAGTGCATACCATCAAATCACATGACTAGTGAGGAATTTACTTTTGATTATTTTTCTTGACCTTGTTCTCTTCCAAATATGGCATAAGCTTATAGAAGTTCATGATTTTGAAGCTCAAGCCTTTAAAAATTCTATATTTGTGTTAACCTTGTTCTTCTAGAGGGATAAAAATGTGAAATAAAAAAAAGTTTTAACCCCTTTGGAAAACTGGAACTCAGAGTTACTCTCGCAGATATCATTAGGATTACTGTAAAAGCTATAGAGTTTCAAAATTTAAGAAAATCCTAATTATCTTTAATAAATGGAAATACGTGATACTTCATGTTTTGAGTATTAGTCCCTTTTCACAATTTTGCCTATTATAGAATAAAGAAAATGTGAGGATTCAGTATGAAAAATGTGCTCTTTGACCACAGAAAAAGCATGTCATTTGAACATGGCACTTGGTAGTAGGTGGATTTTTTTGCAGCCTGTCAACTCCCAGCAGTTCTAGCAGCCTTGGGTGTTAAAGTGTCCTTGGCCTTTATTCCTGAATTCCTAGGAGGCTCTCAGGTGCCTGTGTCCAGCCAGTGCAAGGTAATAGCGAAGGTAATATTTTCTTTCCATGCCTTTGCCTGAGGGAGGCTTCTGGGAGCTGAGATTCCTAGAACTCTACTGTAGACTTTTGAAAAAGAGTCCTCCCCAGCCCCCAAGCCAGCCCACGGCCCAAGTCTCAGATTTGGAAAGCTCCATGGAAAGAGCAGGGGAGTGGATGTCTTTAAAGAGAGCCCAAGCTCCCCTGTAACTTTTTACAGTCTAGAGTTGCTATTATAAGTGTGTTTGGGATGGTACTAATTCTGTGATACATATTCAAGTTTGAAAGCCACTGATAATCTTCACTTTGTTTTGTTCTTGGATTTTGACTGCCTGTTATCTAAAGCAGTGGTCTTCAAAGTGGGGCACATGTTTAGTAAGCCATTGGCAAAAGGGAGAAAACACTGGATCCTCTATTTGTATTTCTTCTTTGAAATCTCATCTTTTAGGTTCCCACATGCTGTGGGGCAGCTAAGCCCGCCCACCACAGCTACCAAGCCCACGGGCCGCAAACTACAGAGCCTACGCGCTCTGGAGCCTGCGCGCCGCAACTAGAGAAGAGAAAACCCGCACGCCACAACAAGAGAGAAGCCTGAGCGCTGCAACGAAGAGCCTGCGTGCCGCAACTAAGACCCGACACAGCCAAAAAAAAAAAAAAAAAAAGTCCACATTAAATCTCATCCTTTACATTTTTTGAGTAGATTTTATAATATGTTGTTACATGATCTATCATGTATAGTATTATTACAGTTTAGAATAACAGTTCATATACATAATTATAAATAAATTCACATATTGGGTGATACTTGGACAACGTTAGGCAAGTTGATTAAATGCTTTAAAATGTCTCATTTTTTTCATACATAAAATAGAGATAATACCTATCTGTTTTTGTGAGGATAAGATGAAATAATACATATAAAGCATTAAAGCATATAAAAACTGCCTGGCATATGGTAAGCATTCAATAAATATTAGTACTCTTATTACAGTGGGTGAATGGGAGTGCATTTTCATAGGCTACCTTTCAATATTGCTGTGTCTTTCAGTATTGCTATAAGCTGTATATCTAGCAAGGACAGTCAGTGGCTACTGATAAAATCTAGAAAGTGAGATTCATTTTTCCTATGGATATCTTTCGGTTCAAATGAATAGCATTTAAGAACACTTGTTGCCTTAATTGAAAGGTCTTTAGGGGCAGCCAGTTTCCCACTCTAGTCGAATATTCCTTTTATGGCCTTCCATTCACATGTATACAATCACTGCTTATCATGCAAAAGTCTTATTAACTAGTGGTTTGTCTATATTATCTGGCCTACTCTGGGCCAGGCTGAGGTTTTTGGAGAAGGAATGAAAAATGTCGAACTGAGTCCAAATCGTATTTCACAGGTATACACTATTGAAGAAATGTTTGGAGGTAAGTCAAATAGTGTGACAATTAAAAGTGTGCTTTTTGCAAATGAAGTGATGATAAATGGATATGCTCTTGAAAAAAGCATATCCATTTATCTACCTGTGTTTTGTGTACTATAGCACCTCATGAAGACCAACCTGAGATAATTACCCGAAAACACCAGATCATTGCATTTAACACTGTATTTTGATTATTTTGAGTTTCTGCCTACCACACCAGAATGTAAACTTCCTGATGTTAGGGACCTTGTCTGTCCTGCATAGCTTGTACTTTGAATTCAATAAATATGTTGAATTAACTAGTTACTTGTCCATAGTCACACAGCTAGTAAGTGGTAGACTGAGGATTTAAATCCACATCTTTCTTTACCTATTAGCTCATTTTATTTCACAGCCCTTCATTTCACACGTATGGAAACTTCTGGAAAAAGCAGTGACTTGTCCGAGGTACCATAGGAGGTGAATGGCAGAAAGACATTCAAACCCGGGAATGTCTGACTTCCTCCATTACTCTGGCTACTTCCCCATTGGGCCTGCAAATCATTTGACCTTATTAGTGTGAAAGTTTTTTTTTGGCCGCGCCTTGCAGCTTGCGGGGATCTTAGTTCCCTGACCAGGGATTGAACCCTGGGCCCTTGGTGGTGAAAGTGGGGAGTCCTAACCACTGGACCACCAGGGAATTCACAAAAGTTTTCTGCTTAAGTGGTTTTATGTACAAACACCATTTCAGTTGGAAGTTTAAAGTTATGGATCTGGAATAGTCATGGTACGGCAGCACAGCAGTGCATTCTCACATTTCCCTTCAAGAATAAAAAAGAAAACTTCCTTAGAGAAAACTTGTTTTCAAAAAGTTTTTTGGAAGGCTACTTAATATCCCCTAAAATCTGTGTGCATATTTTAGCTGTTTTCTATATTGGTATTCTCCTTTTATATATGAGCAATAGTATGATCAGTCCTGTTTTCTAGTATTCTATAGGAGTAATTAGAATGATTGTTAGAATCATTTTACAAAACCCTGCTTGCCAAAAAATGATTGAGCTTGCCTGTTGTATGCACTGTATTTGGTTTGCCTCCTGGCTTGTGTACTCACCCAGAAAAGTTGTTGCTCTTTATTTCCAGCTGACAGCAGCACTGGACCAAGTGTTGTGCTCATGGTGCAATTCAGTGTTAAGAATTATCTCCTCAAACAGTCTTCATTGCATGGGCAAAAGGGATAAGCACCTGCCTCTGGCCTCTTCATGCTGTCAAAGAAGTGTCTTCCTGGGAATCCCCCGGTGGTCCAGTGGTTAGGACTCTGCGCTTTCACTGCTGGGGCTGGGAACTAGGATCTTGCAAGCAGCAGAGCCTGGCCGGAAAAAATAAAAGTTTTAAAATAAAATAAAACAACAACCATTATTTATTAAAAAAAAAAAAAGTGTCTTCCTCTCGGCAGCCTTCCTAATTCTGGATCCTCTCCTTTCTGACATTTTAGAATTAACGGACCGAAGAACCAGGGAAACTAATCCCTTCTGCTAAGTGGCTTGTATGGGGTGACCCATATGCCAGAAATCTCGCAACAGCTACATAGAAGGGGAGATTTTGTAAGCAAGCTAATTCTTGTCCCATCCCTTCCTGTGATGGTGGAATGAAAAATATGGTAATTCAGAGGAGGTCATGGATATAAAAACTTGTTAAACTTTTAATATTAGCTTCACGAAATGAGGCTTTTCATTATTACATGGTGCTAGGACTGAGGGCCCCCCCCAAACGCCTCATGTTATTTGAATATTCCCCATTTTATTTGCAGGTGGAGATTTCACCCCATCCATTCGTAAGTAACTAAAAGAGGCTGAATCCTTTTAATGTGCTTTGGGCAGCACCTAGCACAATAAGGGATTAATAAATCTTTTTGCCAACGGTGATTAAAAGCACAGTTTCTGTAACAAGAATGCTGGGTTCAAATCCTGACTCCACCATTTATTAGTCCTGTAATCTGAAAAATGGGGTCGGTAGTAGATCCAGCATCACAGGATTGGGTTGAAAGATCCACGTTAGGAAGTTATCCCTTTGCTCGTGCAATCTGCACCAGAGCCTAACGAGCTCCTTCCTAAGCCCCACCTCCTGTCGTCCCCGTGCCGCGCAAGCGCAGCCCGGCTCCCTGGGCTACTCTCCCCAGGCTTGCGTGCTGGTCGTCGGCGGGAGATTGGGTCTCGCGACGTGCGTGTGCGTGTGCGTGCGCGTGCGCGGTACTCGCGAGCTCGCGCACGCCGCTGCTTGCTCCACGCGGCTGTGGTGGCCTCTTCCTGCTCGGTCCGGTGGTGCACTGTGAGCGGTGGTTGAGGTCGGAGCTGTGAACCAGCGTCCGCTTCGCCGCTGCCGCCGCCCTGCCTGCTTTTCCCTCTGTTTTGGGCTCTACGCGCAGTGTAGAGGCGCCGGGCTGGAAAGAGAGCGGCGCCAGCGTGAGGTTCCCAGCCGATGGGCAGCCCCTAGGCGCGCTGAGGGGCCGGGCTACTGGCGGCTGAGGTAGGTGGGCGCGCGGGGGTTTGTCAGACTGGCCGGGAGCAGAGTCGGGGCGGCGGGTGCTCGTGGAGAAGGCAAGGAGGGGGCCAGAATGAGGGCCTAGCCAGCTGGTGAGAACAGGTCTCCGACCCGCGCCTGAGAAGGGGCTCTGGCCTAGCTCGGAGCGAGAGGAGGGACCCCGGTCGTAGCCTGCTCTTCTCCGGGCTTGAAGCCATTATTTAGGGGAAATTCCTCCTGCGGCGGGGGGAGGGGTCACCCTTTCTTTTCTTTGCGAGGTCAGAATCCTCATTCCTCCCCGCCATCACTTTAAATTAATGCTTGCTGGCTTCGAGATGCACGTCTAGATGGAGTGGCCTGTGGACTTGACCAGCTTGCAGAACTCCGGTGCACGACAGCGGGCTATCAGTTATGATTATCGAAGAGGGTTCACAACCCTCTCTTTAGTGTGGGCGTGTATTTGCTGCAAAGTTCTTATTGCTGATACATTAATAATCGCTTTCGGGCACAACAGGTAATGAATTTTTAAACACCTCTTGTCAAATAAGGATTCCGGCACTGGGGAAACTGCGCCGTGGAGGCACAATTAAAGAGTAGAAAGAAGACAAAGAAGACCGTTATTTATGTTCTCTCCTAGTATCAGAACTTTCCGTGGTGGAGCAGGATGCGTCGCTACTGGCATTTGTTTTAGCCTTTGCTGAATAGACTTTCTGAGTGATTGAGGTCGATCACCAATGGACTTTCATTTAGAATTATAAAATCACATATGATTTTAGCTAGTTGTTACAAGTCAAATGACCTGAAATAACCTCTGAGAATTATGTGGTGTTCGCTCCTCGGAAGAGAGCAGAACTTGGTTTTCTTGAAAGGAAGATTTTCTCCATGTTTAAAGATGAATGCATTGTGAAGTTACTAAAAATAGTTCTTTATGTTGACAGTGATGACTGCCACATTCAGGAGAAGGAAAAGGAATTATTTCGTAAAGAACAGCCCACGGAAAGACTTCAGGGGTTAAATACGCAGTAAAACAGCTTCAGGGATGGCAAGTTTTAGCATATGCTTTTAAGAATTCTAATTTAGTCATAGTTAAAATATATCGAAGCTCTTAGTTGATTCCCTTATATTTAGTGAACTATTTTAAAAGATTATTAACCTTTGCTAGTTTTGTATTCCGTTCAGCCCAAACTTTCTAGAAATGTAGTATTCATTCTGACTCTATTAAGAAATGTGGCCTGCATGCTTTCAATGAACTCTGTACCATAGTATGGGAAGAGTCTTTCAAGAAAGAACAGTTAGCTGGCGAGCCCTGAGGTGGAACCAGGGAGGCGTTATTAAATGTAGGATTAATGCTTGTATATGCACATACTGCATACAAACATACAAATTCTGAGGCTTCCCTGGTGGCGCAGTGGTTGAGCGCCCACCTGCCGATGCAAGGGACGTTGGTTCGTGCCCCAGTCCGGGAAGATCCCACATGCCGCGGAGCGGCTGGGCCCGTGAGCCATGGCCGCTGGGCATGCGCGTCCGGAGCCTGTGCTCCGCAGCGGGAGAGGCCACGGCGGTGAGAGGCCCGCGTACCGCAAACAAACAAACAAACAAACAAAACATACAAATTCTGCATGCGCCCGCCTGTGTGTGTGCGTGTGTTTATGTATGATGGTTATGCACACAAGGATCTAATGGTGCTGACTCCCATCTTAAAAAGTTGACACCTGAAAGTAGAAAGGGATTGGTTTTAGCTCTGTTTCTTGTTTCAGTTAACTTAAAAAAAATAATAAATTTATTTATTTATTTTTGGCTGTGTTGGGTCTTTGTTGCTGCGTGTGGGCTTTCTCTAGTTGCGGCGAGTGGGGTCTACTCTTCGTTGCAGTGCACGGGCTTCTCATTGCGGTGGCTTCTCTTATTGCGGAGCACGGGCTCTAGGTGCGTGGGCTTCAGTATTTGTGGCACGCCGGCTCTAGAGCACGGGCTCAGTAGTTGCGGCGCACGGGCTTAGTTGCTCCATGGAATGTGGGATCTTCCTGGACCAGGGCTCGAACCCATGTCCCCTGCCTTGGCAGGCAGATTCTTAACCACTGAGCCACCAGGGAAGCCCCTTTATTTAACTATTTACATGAGTAAAAGTCATAGTAAATTTCTTGTCCAGCTTCTTAATCAGTAATTGAGTAAGCAGAATACCGTACTGATTTCTTGGTGGTAGCAGGGAAGGAAAATATAGAACATATAGAAGACTTGCCCTTTAGAAATGTTCTTTAAGTCAGTATCTTACTATCTTCCCTGGGATAAAGAGCTTTACTCCTGTCTATTTTGTGTCCTGATGCTTAGAATAGTGTTTTGCATGGAGTTGGCCCTCAATAAACGTGAGCAGTGTCGGAAGTTAATTAACATAATACAAACCAAATTCATAAATTCCTGGAGAAGATTAAAGTAGTTGAAGATGGGTGGATTTTTTTTTTTTTTATTGCAGGTCTACTGTTTAAATGGTGTGTTTTTCTTCAGTGTTGGTTGCCTGAGTAAAGGATATGTGGCAGAATCTTGCTTCTGAAAGCCTAACATAATGTAAGCTGAGACGGTATATCCTGAGTGATAATAGATGGTGAATGTTCTGATATATTAAGAGAAAATGAAGTTAAAGGAAGTAAGGTCCAGAGGGAAGATTTTGGTAAGTTAGTGATAGGAACTTAAAAGGAATGAGCTATAAACCATTGAAACGGATTATAGGAAAAAACATTTCCTCCCTTTACTGGCAGTGCTACTTGTGGAAGAGAACTGGTACCTTTCTATCTCTTTATACTAGAGCTTTCCAGCAGGGTGATTTCTGAATAATAAAATTGAAAAAGGGATCACTTTGGGAATTCCCTGACAGTCCAGTGGTTAAGACTCTCGGCACTTTCACTGTGTGGTCCAAGCCTCAGGGCACGGCCCAAAGAAAGAAAGAAAAAGTGACCACTTTTTCTCTTATAATCTGCTCAAAGGTCTCAGTGTGTTTCTCTTTGTATTTGCATGTGGGCTCTAGTCTAGTTTTATTGGCAATAAACTAGTATTTTGATTCCTATCTAATTCCTGTGTATATTTCTCAGTTAGTTTATAACTTGTAGGGGAGAGGAATGTGGTTGGTCCCTTCACAAATCCCAACGTTGGCTTTTTTTCAATTTGGAAAACAAATCTATTTGATTTAGATGTTGTAGATGTTATCAATAGAAAGGTTCTGTGGATATTTGGAGAGGTTATCCACAGAATGGTTTTATGATTATTTGGAGAAGTTATCAACAGATTTTATGGATATTTGGAGAGGTAGGAGCTTAAGATGTGAATAAAAACTTCAACAGGAGTGTTTTATTTTTTTTAATAAATTTATTTATTTATTTATTTTTGGCTGAGTTAGGTCTTCGTTGCTGTGCGCGGGCTTTCTCTAGTTGCGGCGAGCGGGGGCTACTCTTCGTTGCGGTGCACAGACTTCTCATTGAGGTGGCTTCTCTTATTGTGGAGCACGGTCTCTAGGCAGGCGGGCTTCAGTAGTTGTGGCTCACGGCCCTAGAGCGCAGGCTCAGTAGTTGTGGCGCCTGGGCTTAGTTGCTCCGCGGCATGTGGAGTCTTCCCAGGCCAGGGCTCGAACCTGTGTCCCCTGCATTGGCAGGTGGATTCTTAACCACTGTGCCACCAGGGAAGACCAACAGGAGTATTTGAAATTGAGTTTTCTGTTTTCATTTTAGTATAGCTGAGTGATTCCCATGATAGGTGGCAGATTTTTCCCCCCAAGGAATATTTGGCAATGTCTGGAGAATATTTTGCTTGTCACAGATTGGGAGGGTAAAGAGGAGGGTGTAGCTACTGACATCAAGAGGGTGGAGTGGGTAGACGCCAGGGATGCTGCTAAGCATCTTAAAATGCACAGGACAACCCCATCCTCCACCTGCCCCCACCCAAAAGAATTATCTGGCTCAAATGATAGTGGTGCTGTTGAGAACCCCAGTTGGTTCTGAAGTCAGATTATCTGAATTTGTATTTGGCTTTACCATTTCCTAATGTGTGACCCTGGCAAGTTGCTTAAAGTTCCTGCCTCAGTTTCTGTAAAACAGAGCTAACAATATGTTCCCCATGGAGTTGAACTGTAGTGATGATTAAGTCAGATAATGTGCAAAGGGCCAAACTTATTACCTGGCACATAGAAAAATCTGAAAAAACTTTAAGCTAATATCATTACATTTGGAACACATCTTGATGATCTCTTCTTATTTCTTTTTTTTTTAAACATCTTTATTGGGGTATAATTGCTTTACAATGGTGTGTTAGTTTCTGCTTTATAACAAAGTGAATCAGATCTCTTCTTATTTCTCATCTGAAATTAGAATTTGAGCAAATGAAGTGATAATAAACTCATTCTCTATCCTTGGGGAATAAGTGAAGAATCACTCCATTTAATGTTTGTGTTTAGCTCACTCTTGTTTTATGTTTTCAAGTCTATAAGGCTTCTGCCATAAACAAGTAGCTTCTCATTGTAAATGTTTTTCCTTCATAGTTAAGACTTTAAGCTAGCTGGCCAGTGGCTCTATATCTGTTGATTCTCAGCAAATATTTAGTAATGTAACTGAATTCAGTTCTTTGACTTCATTTCCATTTCCTTTTACCTTTATAACTGAAATAAATTTGCAGTGGTTTTGGCTCACATTGATTATCTTTTCTTAGCCTCTGGGAGTAACTATTTTCATAACTGAGGTTTTGGTACAATTTTACATTTATGAAAGGTGCAGGCGAACTTCTAACAACTTGGGGCTGGACCTTCGTACACATTTGTGACTCTTTCAAAATATGAATTGGAACCCATATGGGTTTTTTTGTTTTTTACCTTGTTGAAATATAATACTGTAGTCTATATAGACTCTCATTTTCTGTGTGTATAAATGATATGGCTAAATAGAGAAACAATTCACAGATAGAGAGTTTGGACTGTTTGTTAATAAGCCACAGAGCTCTTGTAAGGGAAGAAGATCCACATCATTATTTATGGTCAAGGGAGAAAGCAGTGTGGCACATTCAACTTTTTGTCTTGATAACCACACTTTAAAAATAGAAAGTTTTGGGCTTCCCTGGTGGCGCAGTGGTTGAGAGTCCGCCTGCCGATGCAGGGGACGCGGGTTCGTGCCCCGGTCCGGGAAGATCCCACATGCCGCCGAGCGGCTGGGCCCATGAGCCATGGACGCTGAGCCTGCGCATCCGGAGCCTGTGCTCCGCAACGGGAGAGACCACGACAGTGAGAGGCCCGTGTACCAAAAAAAAAAAAGAAAGTATTTTATTATGATTGTTACACATATTTTTGTAGTATAAGTCTCTGTAGTTTCTATAAATGTTCACTTATTTCAGCTAATGGAAACCTTTTTTTTTTTTTTTTTTTTTTTTTTCGTGTTTTGTCGGCCCTCTTCTTTTTTTGGTCTCTCCCGTTGCGGAGCACAGGCTCCGGACGCACAGGCTCAGCGGCTGTGGCTCACGGGCCCAGCCGCTCGGCGGCATGTGGGATCTTCCCGGACCGGGGCACGAACGCGCGTCCCCTGCATCGGCAGGCGGACTCTCAACCACTGCGCCACCAGGGAAGCCCTAATGGAAACCTTTGTTTACCCTTTATGTTGTTATTGCCTCCTGTTTGGATAGAATAGTTTAGAGGGAGTCAGTACCTTTGGCCAACAGATTGTGTTCTTTCCTCGGTACATTCTATCTTTTGTAAAGTGTAACATACACTCAGGATTCTGTATAAATAATAAATGATGATAATGATAAGGAAGTGTCCACCTTGTGAAAACTGGCCAGATCAGAAGTATACATGTGGGAAATATAATGAAAGGCCAAAGGAAGACATTCTAAGAATGCTAGGGAAACTTAAGAAAAAAAGAATCATGTTAATAACAATTCTTGTCTTTATTATTATCTTTTTAGGATTTAGTAGTCTAAAAGAAAAGAGCCTACAAAATGTAGCAGATTTCATGTACACACTTTGCTAATTCCTAAGTAGAGAACATTGTAACTACAAAATCAGAACTAGAGTTATCTTGCATGGCATTTGTGCCTGCCAGTGATTAAATTGAGGGGAAAAAAAAGTATCTGAATCTGCTGATGTGTGTTTGTTTATAAGTGGCCTGGAGTCCTGCCTGTCAGCTAATTTTAGAGAGCCTGCATAGTTGTTGGAAGACAGACTGTTTTCCCACTAAATGCTGTCATACAGATATATATTTGTATATGTGTATTTATGCATATTTGTCTTTTATTTTTGGTAGAAAATGATGCATCCCGTTGCCAGCAGTAATCCAGCTTTTTGTGGGCCTGGCAAACCTTCCTGCCTCAGTGAAGATGCCATGAGAGCTGCTGATCAGTTTGACATATATTCCTCCCAGCAAAACAAATACAGCCACACAGTCAGCCACAAACCAATGGCTTGTCAGAGGCAAGACCCATTAAATGAAACACACTTGCAGACTACAAGTGGCAGAAGCATAGAGATAAAAGATGAACTAAAGAAAAAGAAAAATCTCAACCGATCTGGTAAGCGTGGCCGGCCTTCAGGAACCACCAAATCAGCAGGATACCGGACCAGCACGGGCAGACCCCTGGGAACCACCAAAGCAGCTGGATTTAAGACAAGTCCAGGCAGACCTTTGGGTACAACTAAAGCTGCGGGATACAAAGTCAGCCCAGGGAGACCTCCAGGTAGCATTAAAGCTCTATCCCGTCTTGCCGATCTTGGTTATGGCTGTGGGACTGCTGCTTTTCCTTACCCTATGATGCATGGTAGAGCAGTTCATGGCGTAGAGGAAACCAGCAGCGAAATCAAGCCGCCCAATGAGTGAATGAGGCAGGAAAGGAGGGCCAGGTTTAGAAGGAAGATTGTGAATAATTCCAAAGCTTCTTGGTTTTATTTTGACATACATGATTTTATGGCCTGGGCTTTCCAAATTTGTTTTCCCATTTGATTTTTTTTTTCCTGCTTTTGCTCAGAAACTGTCATATGCTGACAGATGCACTCAGGGCATAGCAGTGGCATTGTCTTTGTACATAGGTTCAAGTGTAACACCTATTTAAATCATTTTTGTTTTCCTTTAGAGTTATGGTTGTGTCTCATTTCATTACTACTTTTGGGTCATTCTAAATAGATGCTTCATGTACTAAACAACTGAAACCGTTATACCTATTAGTTTGTGAAGTAAGCTTACAATATAATAAAGATAATATCTAAGGTATTATTAACTGATGGAACAAAGCAAACTAATGATTCAGGATTACTTGAGGTAGTGGCTGTGAGGTTTTTTTGTAACATGTTCATGAGACAAGACACAGATATTTGTATGCTTTGGCATTTACTTAGATTTCATATGTTAAAAATCTTATTTTTAACGTTCTAGGTTTAAGCAGCTTCCTATTTATTGATCTACATGGCATTAATTGATTTAACTATTATTCCTTTAAAAATTCTTTAGTGTTTGCCTTTCAGCCATGTTAGGTTGTGTATTTTTTAATTGCCTAAGAGCATGTATACCAAACACTACAAACAATTCATATCTACAAAAAAAATAAACTTTTTTATAAAAACTGCACATTACATTTTTGGTGAAATATTGAATACAGTGCATTCTGAGAATAGCATATTTAATATAATAGGAAAAGAAACATTCTTAAGGTCTGCATGTTGCTATAGTTACTACATTTTGTCTTTCATATACTTAGTTTTAAAGCATTATGCTTAAAGCATTTATTAATGTTCATTCATTAAGAATATTTTTTAGTTTTTTCTGATAAATTGTCCCATTGCATTAGCAGTTACTGTGGTTTCAGGTCTGTATCTACCAAAGGACAAAAATTGAATGGTAGACCGTAAAACTGGTATAAACAAAATGTAGTTTTCTGACTGTCAGAACCCAAATATTAAGAAGTATATAGGAATCCATCTATGCATGAAACATGTAAGAAATATGTTGTTAGTTTAATTAAAAATCTCATGGTTGCTCTAGTGAGACCACTTCATTCAAAATAAATTTTTTTTCTGACAGTGTTTGCTTTAGAAGCAAAATAGATAGGAAAGAAAAAAACGTATTAGGTAGATACGTATAGAAGGGACAGGGATATCTCTCTTCCCTCTTTCTGAAAGTAATATTCTTTGTTAATATACATTTTATTTATTCTGAGTTCTAAATAAAATAAACTATTATAAACTTTGGATTTGGAAAAAAAAATTCCACTGAACTTTAAAGTTACAGTGTATATGTATTTGTGAGCTTAAATGCCTTTTGAGATTATAATGTAGATTTGCAGGACCCCAAAACTTTTAAAATAATTAAAATTTTAAAAGGGCACATACTGTGTTGTTTGGGCTTGCTCTCAGTTACTGCAAACTCTGACTGCAAATGGATGTCATGTTTCATACCTTTTTTATCAGGAAAAAAGCAGCAAGCCTTCAGGTGTTCCAGTGATGCCTGACACAATGAGCTGGACTTTATGCTGCTCTTTACAGTAAGAGGTGTTGCATTGTATGTGGGGACTGTGTGTGCACTGGCATCTAAGACAGTGACCTCAACAATTTTAGCTTTGCACAAACCATAGAGAATAATGTTGGATGACTACATAATCAGTTGTAACATTCTGGCAGCTAAATTGCTACAAGAGTTTCTTCTTGCAGAAGCTTAAAATATAAAACTTTTTAAATAATTTACTTAGAACAGTATAACTTCTGACAGACACACAGATGCTTATGTCTTTATTCATATGTTCATCCATCCACTTTTATTATGTATCTGTCATTTAGTTGTTTCTCAAGATGATGTTCAGCAGTTGGCTGCTTAGAAATCCTCTTTTGAATTGCTGAAAACAGTTGTTTAATTAAATGTTCTTCCATGGAATTATGTATATCACTGTCAAGGGTTCGGTTGCAGGTTGTGTTTTATAGGACACCCATTTGACATTTCCCTTTCGGTTTATTTGCTTTCCTGATTTTGTTATACATGCTCTTTCTCCCTGCCTTTTTCTACATTCATTCCCCTCCCCCTTTCTCCATCCTCCAGCACATCTACTCGGTGGTGCTGTGCTGTGTGTCAGAAGATAAAGCAGGTGTGTTAATGTATGATGAATCTTATATACAAGTTAATGAAATGGTGAGATCAACTAAAGGAAATATGTTCATAACAGTGTTTATTAACATCAGGAGCTATGTCCCAGGAAAAAAGGGGGGGGCGAATGGCTACTTTTGTGAATGGATAACATCATTTAAAAAGCTGAATTTTCTGTGTTCATGTGAGTCGTTACCTGGAGTATTAGATCTGTATGCTGATGAGCATCTCCTGATTGCACTTCCTTTTCTCCTTGTGAACAGTTTGTTGGTGCCATGATGAAGAGAAAGACATCTAAATGATAACATGAATGAAGTCTTAAAATACAAAATATTTTTACTTCTCTATAAAGACTACATTGTGCATCTTTTGTAACACTGTCTCTTGTCATGATAAACACTGAAATAGCATGTTAAACAATTGCCTATACTTTAATATAATCAGTTGGGGAAAACTGGCCTTTTCCTCCCACTGTATGATTGTTCCTTGAAAGGTAAATTAGTAATTTTATATTGTGTAATTCTGTTCTTCACAAAATAGGTTTCACTATTCTATATTAAAACTTTGGTCAGAAAATGATCTGCTCTTCAAGTAAGTTTGCTTTACTTTTTTCTTTAAAAAATATTTCAACATGCCTTATTTATTCTTATATTAACAAATTAGGAGCTAATACAGATGAAACTTCCATTTTTTGACAGCTGTAACCTTGCATAACTAATCTTTAGCGTGGGATGATTTTGATACTATCTTTGGAGTTTTGCACTGGATATTTAAAAAAATGCTAGCACAGTGTATTGGAAGAAAATAAGTGATTAATTTTTAATATTTGGGGATGTTTTAAAAATCAGTATTTCAGTTAGACTAAAAAATTCTTTATATTTTTTATTTACTTTTTAAAAGAAACATCTGTTAAAGTAGTAAAAGTAATATTCATTCCAAACTAATGTTTATGTGAATTTACATGTATATTTTCATGAAATAATAGCGTTTCTTTGAATTAAGGAGGAAAAAAAATTATCTGGATCCATTTATTAGATTAAAGGTGATTCATCCAATGTAAGAAAAACCAGTGTATGAGCTAAAGAAAAAAAGAGTTTCTCTTTTATATTCTAAGATGCTTTAAAAGAACAATTCAGGGGATATTGACAATAACTGCTACTCTGCCAGTCATTGTCTATATATGCAGTAAAATTTTATGATCCCTTTATAGTAAATTATCAATATAAGAATTCACAACAGTTGTTCAAAACATTTTTTCCCTTGAACGTAAGATATTTTGATGCTATTATGTTTTTGTTTTTATTATAGCTTAACTATATGCTATTAAACTCTAGGATGTATCTAAATCTTTCCTTTGCTTTTCCCCCCTACTCCCAAGTAGATAAATCTGTGCTCTCACAAATAATGTATTTAATTTTTGGAAAATTTAATGCTATAGTAAATCAAGCGTGTGATTTATAGTAATCAGACCACTTTGATTCTTTGAGTTTCACAGTTTCCTTTTTCCACAGGTAATTATGGAGAAAATAATTACCAGTTAACTGATATAAGCACGCTGTTCTCTGCTGTAAAAAGTCTGAATAGATACTGTGTATGTTTTTATGTCCATGAACTTGAGCTACTCGTGTGCAATTATGTGTATGGGAATGGAGTAGTGTTCATGATTTGTATCTACATCATCATATGGATGTATATTTATTAATAAAGTCATTACTTTAAAACCAACTATGTTTACTACTTTATTTCTTAGCAAAGTATTTTCCAAGTAGGGTAATTGTAAATGGTAAAACCTCTTTCATGATTGGTGGTCTTGTATTTTCCTTGGGCTGTGCTTTCTGAAATCTGCCTCTCTCTACTTGTTTTTCTCAAAATAGTAATTATCTATATATTTGTAATTTAAACGTCTAACTTATAAATGAATCTCATTTTCTTCCAATTATTAAGATACTTCAGGCTAATGGTTCTACTAAAGGCTTAAATTATTATTATTTTTTAATAAATTTATTTATTTATTTTTGGCTGCATTGGGTCTTTGTTGCTACGCACGGGCTTTCTCTAGTTGCGGCGAGCGGGGGCTACTCTTCGTTGCAGTGCACTGGCTTCTCATTGTGGTGGCTTCTCTTGTTCTGGAGCATGGGCTTTAGGCACACGGGCTTCAGTAGTTGTGGCACGTGGGCTCAGTAGTTGTGGCTCACGGGCTTAGTTGCTCCACAGCATGTGGGATCTTCCTGGACCAGAGCTTGAATCTGTGTCCCCTGCATTGGCAGGCGGTTTCTTAACCACTGCGCCACCAGGGAAGCCCTAAAGGCTTAAATTTAAATGCGATTGATCCTTTTAGTTTGAAAAGTTTAGATATTAAACGTGGCTAACTTTTTTAGTGTTAACCTTAGGGATAGCAGCATGTGCATATTTTGTAACTGTCAAATATTGGAGATATAAAAAGAAAAACACTTTCTCCTAATTATTAGAATATCTAATTACCTTTTCCATTTTCTCTGAATCCTGCATATCATCTGGAACAGAGGCTGGCAAACTAAGACCCACTGCCTGTTTTTGTAGTTTCATTGGATTAGCCATTCCCATTTGTTTACATATTGTCTCTGGCTGCTTTTGCAGTACAATGGCAGACTTGAGTAGTTGTGACGTAAGTCCTGCAAAGCCTAAAATTTACTGATTATTCCTTTCCTTACAGAAAAGTTTGCTGACCCCCCTTATCTAGAAGGATAAATTGGAGTAGGAAACAGCAAATACAATTTAAAATTGAATTTCAAAACCTGAGCAAGTGATGGTTTTTGGGTTTGTTTTTTTTTCTGGCCACACCACATGGCATGTGGAACTTTACTGACCAGGGATTGAACCCACACTCCTTGCAGTGGAAGTGCAGAACCTTAACCTCTGGACCACCAGGGAAGTCTAGTGATGGCTTTTTTTTTTTTTTTAGTAATTTTATTATTTATTTATTGGCTGCATTGGGTCTTTGTTGCTGCGCACAGGCTTTCTGTCTAGTTGCGGTGAGCGGGGGCTACTCTTCATTGCGGCACGCGGACCTCATTGCGGTGGCCTCTCTTGTTGCGGAGCACAGGCTCTAGGCGCACAGGCTTCAGTAGCTGTGGCATGCGGGCTCTAGAGTGCAGGCTCAGTAGTTGAGTCTTAAACTCAGGTTTAAGTTAGGTTCCTAACTTAAAGGAAACTTGTAGCTGCTTCAAAATCAGTGTCAACTATAAATGTTATCTAAAAAATGAAGTACAAAACCCCATTGGAGTGAAAGTATAAACAGGGACAGTAATAATGGCTTCTTAGTACAGTGCTTGCCATAAATAATAAATACTTTACATGATTTATTTTGTTAAACCATTGCAATTTTATTGAATGCTGTCAAAGGAGTTGGAATATGCCTTTACTGGTAAGAAAACTTGAACCCCAGAGAGGTTACATAATTTACCCAGAGTCATGACACCCAGTAAGTGGTAAGAGTCAGCATCTGAACCCATGCAAAACTGGGGCTCTTAAGCTTCTACTCACCATTGGAAAAATTTTAAAAAGAGGTTGTGCTTTTGGTACGTATTTTTGTGCTGGCCCTGAAATAGATAAATGTGGCCATGGAATTCTAATAATTTGTTTTGTCTCCTTGCCAGTGGCCATTCTTTTCTGAGAACCTAAGGGATCTTGAAGTAGTTTCTTTGTAAGGAGGGTGACAGAGCCTTTTTTTTTTTAAGTTTTTTCGGTATTTTTCTCATTTCTCTTTTAAAATCTTTAAAGGTTTTTTTTTTTTTTTAATTTATTTCGCTGCATTGGGTCTTAGTTGTGGCACCCAGGATCTTCGTTGCGGCATACTGGATCTTTCAGTGCAGCGCGCGGGCTCTTTGCTGCAGCGTGTGGACTTCTCTCTAGTTGTAGCGCCACAGGCTCAGTAGCTGCGGTGCACGGGCTTAGTTGCTCCGCAGCATGTGGGATCTTAGTTCCCCGACCAGGGATCAAACCTGCTTCCCCTGCATTGGAAGGCGGATTCTTAACCACTGGACCATTAAGGAAGTCCCCCATAAAATCTTTGAAGTTTTTAAATCTTCAGAAATCTTTCAAAATCTTCATTCTGTTAGGCATTTATTTCCATGTGAGCGGGGCATGTTTTTAAGTACAGAATCTGCCCATTTTGTCTTTGAGCTGCCTGGTGCTGGTCTGTGACCTCTGAAGTTGGTTTGTGATCTGTTGTTTATCATTTGTCCCATTATCCTTGGGCTAGCTTTTCTTGGGATAAGAAGTTGCATGTAGAATGGCAGTTACCCTAGTTGCTGGCTTATAACTGCACATGACCTATGGGCACCACAGACACATAAGTTCTTTTTCCTTGTCTCTTCCGTATTATTTTTACTTTCTGATTTTGTTAATTTGCCTCAGACAACATATCAATTCTTTATGTGTGTGTGTGTGTGTGTGTGTATACACACACACACACATATTTATTTATTTAGTTTTGGCTGCGTTGGGTCTTTGTTGCCGCGCCCGGGCTTTCTCTAGTTGCAGTGAGTGGGGGCCACTCTTTGTGGCGGTGCACGGGCTTCTCATTGCGGTGGCTTCTCTTGTTGCAGAGCATGGGATCTAAGCACATGAGCTTCAGTAGTTGTGGCGCACGGGCTTTGTTGCTCTGCAGCATGTGGGATCTTCCCGGACCAGGGCTCGAACCCATGTCCCCTGCATTGGCAGGTGGATTCTTAACCACTGCGCCACCAGGGAAGTCCCAACATGTCAATTCTTTCTCATTAAGGAAGATATTTTTAACTAGTTTCAAAAATTACTAGTTTCTATGTTTATATGAATCTTGGTTCATAATCTGTTTTTGATATTGGAAATTTTAATCTTTATTTTATTAGGTCTATGTAGTTTTTCTGAAAACCTGAAGTCTCCCATTTCATCTGCCTTTCTGTATCCTGTGTATTAGGCCTTATAGTAGTTATAGTTGTAACAGACCCCAAAATGTGATGGCTCTGATAAGGCTAGCACATTTCTCACCACTTAAGTGTCCTGTGCTGTCCTCCATGCAGTCTTTCAAGGACCTGGGCTCTAACCGACTTTGCCGTTTTCAAAATATGGCTTCTGAGATTACTCAGTTGTTTTCATTTTAGTCCCTGAATTGGTGGGCTTTGGAAGTCTAAGCCGTTTTAAGTAAATAAGTTATATGACTTCTCACATTCTTTTGACAGTAGGTTGGTCACATGAATACATATAGCTGCAAGAGGCACTGGGAAGTGTAGTCTCTACTTGGGCAGCCAGGTCTAGTTATGCAAGAAGAGAATGGATTTTAGTGGCAATCTCTACCACATCTCTATAGGTAAGTAAGAGTTGTGGGCTGAAATTGGGGTAGAATGAAGAAGCAAAATCCTACAGATTATGTGAAACCAAATTGAGGGTTTTGAAGCTAATTTAAGTCATTATTAGGTGTCATTTAAAAAAAATTGTTAATTTACTGAAGATTTGCATACCATCATTGAGCCAAACACTCTTCTGGGTGCACTAGACTACTGGTTTGTAGTCTAATGGAAGATTTAGACAAGTAATCAGAAAATTATACAATATGATGAATACTGTTTCTGGGGTAAATGAGGGGGGCTATGAGAGTGCTCAAAATGACATTTAAGCTGGGAGCTGAAAGATGAGTATGGATTGGTGTGTGGAGGAGGGGGAGAGTATTAGGGACAGGAAAAACAACATACACATATACGCAAACCTGGAAGAATTGTGTATATGAAATTCTTTAAACAAATTATTGTGTATGGTAAGTGGTGGTGGTGGTGAACAAGGATTGAGAAGTGGAGATGAAATGGACCAGATCATAGAAGAGCCCTGAAAAATCAATTTAAAGAGTTTCTGTTTCTTTGAGGACAATGGCAAGCCATTGGAAGGTTTTAAATAAGGGAATGACACTCGCAGTTGTAGTTTAGGTTGGCTTGGAGGAGGAAAATCAGAGGCAGGCACAGTGGTAAAGTCTCATTTGAGTGAGATATTCAGATTAAGATCAGGCAGTGGGGAAGAGAGAAGTGGACAGACTGTGATCTGAAATAGGTAGTTAATAAAGCTTGGTGTCAGTAATGGAAAGAGGAGTCCATGAGTGGTGGCATAGTATTAAGTAGGCTAGGGAGCATGTGAGTGCGCGCATGCACATGCACACATGGTAGGGGGAGTTGGTTAGATAGAGTATATCCAAGCCAAATACATACGACAGACTAAGATGCCCCTGCCTATATCGAGGCGTTACATTTCTCCTGGTATAGCTCAAGATCTATCCCTTTGTAAATGAAAGTAAATATTGTTTTTATCGCTGGGGGAGGGTGTGGGGCCAAAAGGAGCTACTCTTTTTTTTTTTTAACATTAGTTTCAGGTGTACAACATAATGATTTGCTATTTGTATATATTGTGAAATGATCACAGTAAGTCTAGTTAGTTAACATCCATCACCATCCATAGTTGCAGAATTCTTTTTTTCTTGTGATGAGAACTTTTAAGATCTAGCAACTTTCAAATATGCAACGTAATATTATTAACTATGGTCACCATGCTGCACATTACATCCCCATGACTTATTTATTTTATAACTGGAAGTTGGTACCTTTTGACTCCACTCACCCCTTTAGCCCACACCCCACCCCCTACCAACCTGTCTCACACCAGTCTGTTCTCTGTAAGCTTGGTTTTGATTTCTGTTTCTTAGGTTCCACATAAAAGTGAGACCT